TATTATTATTATTATTATTATTATTATTATTATTATTATTATTATTACACTCTGATGCTTAGAGAGTTCTATTCCCCTTCCCCACCTGAAAAGAAATGTCTTCCAAATGCAAAACACAAGCAGAGAAGTTTCAGTTTCAATTTTAGTTTCACAGCACCCAGCAGCTTTTGTACAGAACAGTTGAGCTAAGCCACGCCCAGGCTCCTTGCTGTCTCTTTCTTGCTCACACAGCAAATACTCTTCCAGTTTCCAAACAGCCCTCCTCTCTCTCCCGCACTGACAGGATGCTAGCCAGATGAATGCCGATGGATGCTGGTAGGCAGAGGCAGAATTTTTTCCTCCTTATTTTCCTGCCCAAAAACTAAGCCCAACCACAGAGAAGCACGGGGATCGAGCTAGTAAGAAAATAAGATTGGGCTGGAGACAATAGACTGGCCTATTGTCTCTGCAATATTGCAAAACGGGCGAATTCAGCCCAGTAAAATCCTTCAGAGTCATTACATGAAATAGGGTTATATAAATGTGATCGATCGATCAATCAATAAATCCCCAAATAATCCGTTCTTTGAATCCCTTTGGCCTTAGAGCGAGGGTGTCAAGCTGAAGGCCTGCGGGACGGATGTGGAGAGCAGGTTGCTTAGAACTGGCCCACAGGGCTGGCCTGGACCGTCCCACGGTGCCTCTGCCAGTGAAAACGGAGCACAGTGTGCCAAAGGTGCGTGTGTGTGTGTGCAAACTTGCATGCGCACACAACCCCCCACACTGTGCACCTCTGCACATGAGTGTGCAACACCTCCCCATGCAGCCTGCCCCTTGCGCATGTGTGTGCATCTCCCATGTGCGCATCTCTCCTCACGCATGCATGACAGATACCCAACAATCAGCTGGCTGGTGGTGGTGGGTGCATGCATGCACAGTGGGGCTCTTCTGGACGACCTCTCGCATGCCGGCAGAAATGGCTCTGTGTGTCACTTCCGGCACGCGTGCCATAGGTTCGCCATCACAGCCCTATAGGAATCTGGCAGCAGGCATTAAAATATTAAAAGACATATTCGTGCACAGGAACAGGCATCTCAATCACAAAGCCCCAAAGAATGTATATAAAAGCTCACCTACTCTCAACCCCATTTAGTCAGCTGCCCCAGAAACCTGCTGCTGTCACTAGTTTCTGGCTACCAAATAAACAGAGACATCCTTCCCTGCAGCCTGCCTCCATTTTATTTCCATCATTCTGTCTCCCGGTTTGAAACCGGACCTCGATTTTTCTTGCAACAGTGTGACCCACTGTCAGTCCTAAAATAAGGAACAGTGGGGGAAATGTGGAGTAGAGCTTCTAGTGAGGACCTAGACGGTGTTGTGGCCCGCCAGTGACTGATGGAGCTGGCAGCAGAGTCAGACAGTAGTGAGGAGTTTGGGGAGGAACCCGGGCCACTCCTGGAGGCTGAGGAAGGCTCGGACGAGGGCTCTGCATTGGAGGCAGAGATGGGGCCAGGGCAGGCTGGCAGTTATCAGCTGCCTTCAGGCTCGGACAGCAGTGAGGCGTGGGAGCTTCTGGAACTGGTTCCCAGCCTGCGCATAAGCAGAGCTGCCAAAAGGAAGCCACAATTAAGAACTCAGGGTTGATGTGGAAGTAAGGGCACTGGTGGATGGTGAATAGCCCCTCCCATCAGGATTAAAAGAGGAGCAAAAGGGGAGGGGGCTTTTGCAGGAAATAACTTGTTCGTTCATTCGTTCCAGCCTTGTGAAGATTCATCTGTATAACCCAGCCCTTCCCTGCCAGCACTGAGTGTGGAACTATTTACCGGGCAGCTTTCCAAGATAGATAAGGTCTGAGCTAATGATTATACCTTTGCAAGACTGTTTGCCAGGCTGTTCAGGCTGAATGTGAATGCAATAAATTCACATTCATTTAATAAAAGAGGTTTTGCCGGGACTCAGAGTTTGCTTACTGCTTTTTGGGGAAAGCCTGGGACAGAACAGATGGTGGCCGAGCTAGGACTGAATCTTTCTCTCTGAAGTGTCCACAAAGAGAGAAAGTGGGGGGGGGGTCACAAATGTCCAGATGTGTTGGCACAACCACCCAGTCAAAGCTCACTCATTTTCACACCCTCAACACTGTTTTCTCTGTTCCACAACCAGATTTCTGGAGGTGGTTGGCCGCGGTCAACTCAATCTATATGAAGTGTCCTAACTCTTGACCAGGTGTCTTTCCATAGAAGGTCCTCCAGGACTCGTTGGGCTTAGGAACCTCATTGTACAACAGGACGAGGGACCGGTCCTTAGATGGAGATGCTGTTCTCTACTTCAGGAGGGTTGAGATAATTGTACGGCAGCGGAAGTCGTCGATTTCTCTCCTCGATTTCCTGAGAGATCTTGCCCAGATGTTTTTGGAAAGTGGCGATGACCTTCTTTGGGCCTTCCTCAGTGAAATGTTCGTCAGGGTAGTAACCCAGAGATCTCTGGAAGGAGATGAAAGAAAGCCATAGTGAGGTCCCATCTGAGGAGATCAAGTCACACCCCCACTAGCAGTTAAAAGGAAGAAGCAGCTGCAAGCTCACATCACTCTGAGAAGCACAGAGTTGAAGACAGAAGCCTGAAGATGATGAATGAGACTTCATCGAAACGTTGCCTAGATACTTCCAATCTTACGCGGGAGAAAACCCGAATAACCAAAGATCCACATACAAATACCCGCGAGAACCTCAGAATATATATATA